CGTCTCTTTAACACATTCAGTTGAAGTCATAGACATATACACTAGACCTCACCTAGGGGTTCTAAGCATGCGTCAAAACCGCCGCCATCTTGGAACAGGGGTCTTGTCATAGGAAGTAGCTAGGTAACGCTGCTATCTCTGCCTTTACTTCGAATTCATTAATGGTGGCGGACTTTTGTGCAGCATATGAAGTTCACGGATGAAATCTGAACTAGGAAGAATGTTTAAAAAAAAAAAAAATTCAATTTTTTTCTTTCTTTCTGGAATCAATGATAAATACATGTCTGACTGTTGGGACAAACCAAAAAAACAAGAAAAATCGCATTCATGATGATTTATGGTGATTTTATTTGCGTTAGACTTGTGTCTACTACATTGACGCTGATGCATTAAAGTGGAGGGGCTCCCCTGTTTCAAGATGGCGGCTCTATTGATGCATTCGTTCTAATGAACTGCCGTATCCAAGGTGAGGTCTAGTGTATATGTCTATGACTATAAGTAACGTTGCACCTACAGATCTACTAACTCTCACTAGTATGTTAGTAGAGTACTAGTAGATAGGGTTAGGGATAGAATATGTTGACATACTTGCAAAATTACTTATAGTCAGTAGAATGTCTGTTGAAGGAGCATCACAATAAGAGTTGGAAGATATTAAGCAGACAGTCTACTAATACTCTAATGACAGTTAGTTAACATAGTTGCAAAATAGTTTGACAAAATAGGAATTCCTGCATAGTGTGCCTTTAACTCCCATTATTAGCCAAAACAATAAGGTGATGGGATTGAGATACAAACCTTTAACATTACTGTCAGTTCAGAATAAGACATGGTAAGGTGACACATATATCAATTTTGTTTTACTGTGAATGTCAGTGTGTGACTAGAATCATGAATCTGTGAGGGTGTTGGTCAGAGGATTTGAGCTGCTCTCCTCTGGAGGTTTGGGACGTAGTCCCGGAATGAAGCTCTCTCATTCCTCCCATTAAAATCAAACTGATTCACTGACTGATACTCCTCCCAACAGCAGAAACACACCCAGCGACACGTGTTTTTCAAAACCTCTTAACATCTTGTCCAAGTTTGTTTCTGTTTCTGCATATTTGAATGATACCTCAATACATTTGTCTAGTGTGCAGGGGTGTGGTGTTATGTTTCTAAGCGATTACATTTATTTTTGTCACCTGTGTGGCAGACTATTAAAAATCTTGAGCCAGAATGCCATAAAGAACCGATAACCAATAACCACCCAGAAAAGCCTAGCAATCAGGCCCTATAATACCCTGAATACCATAAAAAACACAAAACCATAGGATTTAGCAGCCACGCCACCTTACAGAGGATAAGCGGTTTAGGAGATTGATTGGATGGATAGATGGATAGACCCAAGCAATGCCCTAGTTAACACCCTGAACACCCTAAAACGACATGTAAATTCCTAGCAACCATCTACTGATGCGCTAGTAATCACCTGAAACCACCAAGCAACAGCATAGCAATATTGAATAACCAGAACACCTTGCAACACTCACTGTAACCACATAGTAACACTTTGAAAATGATTACTGTATGCATGCATTAAATGCTAAAAAGTACAGTTAGAGTGTTGTATTCTGTCATTTCTTGGGTATTTATTGGGTAACACTTTACAATAAAGGTTAGTTATCTCCATTAGTTAACATGAACTAACAATGAAATGTACTTAAAAATTCAATACTTTGTAATACATTATTAAAATCAAAAGTTGTATCTGTTAATATCATTTAATGGACCTTAAATAACATTAATTGACTACTTTTAACAAAGGTCAGTAAATACAATGCATTGGCCATTGTTAATGCTAGTTAATGCATTAACTAGCGTTGACTAATGGGAATGTGTTGTAAAATGTTTGCTAAACAAAACATGATCATACATTTTTGGCTTTCGCAGTTGTGCTAAGCAGCAACATATGGGTCATTTTACAGCATATGAAGGAGAATCCAGAGCACTTCAGGCTAAATCAATCCAAGCTAGTGCCAAAAACCCATGACATCATTTAGGAGTTTAGTGGAGGAGGGAGTGGTGAATAGCGCATCATAATCAAGGACATATTCTGTGCAGCTTTTATATGCTGGTGTTGTTTGATTTTTACCATCTGTTACGTCAGCCAACACCCCTATACTGTTTTATGCCTATTCCTTATGTTTCCATCCACATGAAGTATGTTTAATGGCAAGTAATTAACTGTTATTGGACAGAAAACAAATGTAATCAAACATGCAGCGTTCTAACGACAGCACAAACCCTGAAGTCCTCATTTAACCTGTGTGTGTGTATACATTGGACAGCACTGAGTAAATACATGCCAAAGCCCAAATAGGGAACATGGCAAATAACTTGAGTTTTGGGAGCACAAGCGCACTATTCACTCCAAGACTGAAGTTCTTTCCGTTTCAGTTTATAGACTCCTATTCTGCTAATAGTTCACCAGCTGAACCACACAAACTTGATGTCACTATGTCTGGCATAATAAATAGTGTCATTCTGATTTGATAATAATCTGTCCATCTGTATCCTTAATAGCATTGCGACATTATAATTTCTATAATGTGCGTTTTATTAAATTACACTTTTCTGCAGAATGTAGGCAACACAACAGTTTTATTCAGCATAAGTCACCAAACAAATGGGGGTAAATATTTTGTTGAAAAGACTGAACAATAAAGAGAAGTGAATGTTGGAATGAGTTTCCACTCTGGTCAAACACTTCCTGCTCACTGCTGGCCAGATGAAATAAGAGCAAAACAATCCCCATTATGCAGAAACAGCTGTGCTCTCCATCAGGGGAAGGAAACCCATTCTCTGCAGTATATGCGCTCAGAATGTGTGACATTCCTGTGAAATCACATCAGTGCATTCACAAAGGCAGTATCACTGATTTAGAGAGTGCTGCAAAAGAGATGTGCATGCATATTTGATGCAAAATGAATTGTGGTAATATTTTACATTACACTCTCCATTAAATACTTTATATTAGGTTCTGGTCTATCCAGAACAACAGCACTCTTGCTCACTGACGGTTCATAACTTGGTATTTATATAAATTCACAGCAACCTAATCTATAAGGATGATGAAACTGGGCTATTGCATGACATTGAGCTGTGGGGTAACTGATCATAGGTGGGGACGGGTGTGGTGGGCGTGTGGTATAGGCTAGGTTTGGGTATGCCCTACATGAAACTGATGAGATTTCCTGTTCTAGGCTGCCTGTCAAATGCATGTCTGATGTGTTTAAGTAAAGTTAAGGTTATTCTTGGATTTCAATTGCCTACAATAACTAACATAATGATATAATGGTTTAGTGATAAGACGCTGAATTTTACTTTAAAGCAAAATGAAACACGGATAAATAAAGTGTAGCCTGTATGTACACGAGAAAAAGTTCCATTCAATAATGATCATTAATCTTAACGTTGTACATAAGAGAGCTAAACCCGTTATGTAGACTTTTTTTTTGTTGAGTATAGGCTACCAAATGAAAATCCGTTTACCTCGTATGTAGCTTATTTTACTCTCGTCCAACAGACTGGATGAGGATGCTCCCATGGTGCAGCGTGGCTTGTCCCGGTCCGAGCGGAAGCTTTTTCCCGTTAGTCCGATTGTTCAAAAGCGTAGTGGCTATTTTGACAGTCAGATATTGACGAGCGCAAATAAACTGTGACTCAAGCATCTCAAACTTCCTCAAACTGCAGCGCCGCCCGCTTATATCCTCTCTGCTCTGTCAACATTCGAGCAATATTTTTCTCATTTTTATAGGACGTTTGTTTAACGTTAGACTGTTTTGTTTGTGTATTAATGTATTCACAAATCATTTTAATGTAGCCTATCTCCAAAACCTCTTTGTATTTACCCCAGAAGTCATTTTGTAAAAACTTAACGTTACAGATCAATTGATTAACGGTATTTGGCAGCATATGGCATAAAAAACGGTTTCATTTGAATAGCATTAAAATACGTAGCCTACATCGTAGTTTATATTTATTTTAATCAGCTTCGATTATCCTGAGACCGTTTTAAGTAAAACGAAAAAAAAAAAAAACCGTTCGCGGCGCGAATCAAAAAAGCAGAGCAAAATGTGCACTAATGAGTTTCACATGCAATTTGTAAATTGTTATGCAGAATGGATTTTTTTAAAGCTATAAATTTAAGTTATCCAAAAGGCACTCTACTCAAAAGGCATGTTTTTACTACTCCCCCTAGAGGCACACGTAGGCTAGGCCTAGTTTTGTGTAGGAGCTAGCTAGCCCATTTCTAGCCCATTTCCCCCACATAAAAAGAAAAACAATGTTTTGGTAGGCCAAAATGATAATGATAATGACAAAGTTGAAATTATGAGCTAAATTTTCATAATGACATAGCATCTCATAATTTATAAATTTTAATAGCCTAATAGGCATTCAAAATGAATTGAGTTGAATTGAAAGTGAAATTGAATTGAAACAATCTAATAAGCTGCCCATGGCGGCATGACACGCTTTAATTATAAGCTCAAGTTGATTAAAATGAGTGTAAATAAAATTGTCTTAATTTTTTAATAAAAATTCGACTTAAAAAATTAGACTTAACCTAGTATCTCTCTCTCTCTCTCTCTCTCTCTCTCTCTCTCTCTCTCTCTCTCTCTCTCTCTCTCTCTCTCTCCACCAAAGTATGAATTTGTGGTGGGAATTGGCTAAGTTAATTAAATTAAGTTATTAACTTAATTTCGCCGTGTAATGCAGAGCCATATGCTCTGGTGTAATGTATCCCAGCGTTTCAGGAAACAGCCTGGACAGGTGGCTAGTCCATCAAAGGGCTGCCATAAACAAAACAATTGTAGTCAAGTTTTTCAATTTTCTAAAAAAACAACAACAACCATAAACCATAAATATTAAAGTATAACATAGATGAAGAAGACACGTGAGTTTATTCAAATGAACATGTGATTCAAAAATAAACGATGAACTGCATTTTACACAGTATCGAAGTGGATGACTGACTTAAAACTGACTCAGTTTTAGGAAAATACCACATTTCCCAGAGTTCATCAGGGCCCAATGAATCCGCCATATTGAGCTCACCAGAACGCGCTGGCAGGAGAGAGAGAGAGAGTGAGTGTTCACAACATTGAAATGTAAGTATGCAAACAGCTGCGTTTGTACAAAAATATAATTTTTTTCTGGTTGTCGAGATTGACGTTTTCATTAGCGCAAAAGGTTTTATGTCACAATATCGCCGACACTGAGTTCAAAGTTGATTTAATGCAGCCTGTAAACACAGCCTCTGGATTAGCAGAGAGAGTTAGCCGTTAGCTCTACGTTTTCATGACAGCGCAGGAGATAAAACCTTTCCGCATATTTTTTTTTTCTTCCGATTATTTTGATTTGTTTTTGTTCTCCGTTGATGAAGGGCAGGCACAGTCATTCAAAAGACACGTTGTACGTACAGGAAGATGCTTCGTCTATTCAGTGACACAAAGAGTTGTAACGTTAAGTGCCTTCATAAGCTAATTTTAGCCTGCTAGCTCTGTGACTGCAGGGTTAGACAGATTAATTGTGTATTATAGTATGATGATCTAAAACAAGACAATGTAGAGTTGATGATTGAAGTAAACATGAGTAGAGTTTAATGGACGTAATCACGCGCCAGCTTTCGACTTAAACCAACGTCATCAGACCATAACATCCCTCAGATGTCAGTTGTCAGAGATGATCATGATGGAAATTACTTTGTTGTCCTTGTCCTAAACAAGCACATTCGAAAATTGTAAGATCTTTGTCTTCAATAGGTTTTTAATAAGTTGTAAATATTTCATCATGTATGGATTTTGACATGAAACATGCTATTAATGTTTTGATTCTGTCTCATCTCATCACATCATGTAGCTCTTATAGTAGATTTTAATATTATGTGAGTAATGTTTTCTTTGGCTGTTTTTCACAGAGGTGAAGGAGACAGTGTATAAATATGACACAGACGGTCCAGACGAATGGGGTTCAACCCCTCAGCAAGACATGGGAGCTTAGTCTCTATGAATTACAGAGAACTCCACAGGTAAGAAAATTCACATGCCAATTATTGTACATTTATGTTTTCCAAGTGTGATTCTGACAGTATGTAGTGCAAGGGGTATTCAAACTGGGCTCCAGGGACCCACAGGGGGTTGCAAAGGAGTGACATGGGGTCCATGGAAAAGTCTAGAGAAAAACTGTAAACATAAATAAATATGTAATGATAACAATAATACGAATTATTATGATAATAATAATAATAATACGAAGAATGACATATGTAAATAAATTAGATTAAAACTAGGGCTGTGCAAAAATTAATTGCGATTAATCGCATCTAAAATAAAAGTCTGTGTTTACATAATATATTTATTTGTGCTGTACATAACTATTTTGTATATATAAATACACGCACATGCATGTATATATTTGATAAAATGTGTTATTGATATATAAAATATTTATATTTATATAATATAGATTATGTATTTATGTATATATACAGAATGTAAGCGCAAATAATTCTTAAATATATACATGCATGCATAGGAATTTACATATACAAAATAAATATATACTGCACACACAAATATATTATGTAAACACAGACTTTTATTTTGGATGCGATTAATCGCAATTAATTTTTGCACAGCCCTAATTAAAACATATACATTAATTGTAAAAAATTTAATTGTAAAATAAAAAATGTGAAATGTTTCACATTTATTAAAATAAAATAATTAATTAAATAATTAAAATAAAAATATTAGTTCGATAATAATCTATTAAATTAGAATAAAATAAATGTATTGTTTTAATTAATACAAATAAGTTATACAGTATACCGCTACATCACTGGTTAGAAATATATATATATATATATATGTATATTATAATGTACATCAGCATTTAAATTCTGTGCTTTTAATAGATTGGTGCCTTTTTAGTGGTGGGGTTCCGCACATGGGCATTATATATGGGGGTCAGTGGCACCTAAAAACCCATGTGCTAGTGAAACCCTGGCGAGAGACCTATTTGGTAGATGTTGCCTAGTTTTCGACCCTCAATGCAGCTTCTGTGATGTTGTGCTCCTCTAGGAGGCCATCACGGATGGTCTGGAGATCGCCGTGTCCCCGCGCAGCTTACACAGTGAGCTCATGTGTCCCATCTGTCTGGACATGCTAAAGAACACCATGACCACCAAGGAGTGCCTGCACCGCTTCTGTGCCGACTGCATCATCACTGCACTCAGATCAGGGTGGGTTTGTGTTATCCGTAGGATTTATGTGCTCAGATATTATACTGTACATTTTGTTTGTGGTGTGAATGAATACGTGCTAGTAATACTGGAGTGTCCGTGGTTAACACTAGGGATGCAGCGAATAAACCGACTTCATGATTAACCGCTCTTTAAAACGTCATGGTTAATTAATTATAAAGGCTCCGATAACACAGTGTTTCTGTTGCCCTGAACAGAACTGTTGCAACTTGCACAAAAAACAAAAACAAAGTTACGCCAGAGGTGCAGCATGAAGTGCCATGCTTATCAGAGACAAGGAAGCTACTACCACACACTGATATAAATCTGATATCTGATATAAATAAAACACTACATCAAATTATAATTGAAAGGATTAATATTGCAGCTTCCATAGACTTCTTATTACTGAACATTGCTGCATTTTTGTCAATGAATACAAGCAGTCAGATATATATGAACTACCTTTTTATTTTACCATTAATTGTCATTTCTTCTCTGGTTCACAGGAATAAGGAGTGTCCAACATGCAGGAAGAAGCTGGTGTCTAAGCGCTCCCTCCGTCCAGACCCCAACTTTGACGCCCTGATCAGTAAGATCTACCCCAGCAGAGACGAGTACGAAGCCCACCAGGAAAGAGTGTTGGCCCGCATCAGCAAGCACAACAACCAGCAGGCGCTCAGCCACAGTATTGAAGAGGGCTTAAAAATCCAAGCCTTGAACAGGTTAGATGGCTGACATGGTTCCATGTGAAATTTATTCTAATAACATATTTATTTTCGTGAATTCAATAATTGACATAAAGGTTTAGCTTGCTGTTTCTAGTGCTACCATACATCTTATGTACTGCTAAATCTATTGAAACTTGACTGGATATTAAATACTATGTTTTTTCAGTCAATGGACTCTATAACTATACAAGGACGATATCGATAACGTTCTATTTTTTCAAATCTCGTGCTGATTTTTGTCCAATGCTGCTTTAGAGGCTCAAGCTCTCGTATGAATTCTGATTTGCTGTCAATTTATTTATTGTAACAAAATTGGTCTAAAAGTGATTTAAGTGGTAACATTTATCTGTGTCATTATTATTATAATTGTGATGTGGACTAGAACTATAATAATATAACTATCTTTATCCTTATCATTATAGTTATCGGCCTTGGTCGGTGTGAAAAGGTCTTAAGACAGCTTTTTGCTGCTTTGTTGTTGTTTTTCATTCATCTGTTTTTGTTACTGTGTTCCCACTTCACCACTATAGACTGCAGCGGGGGAAGAAGCACCAGATCGAAAATGGCAGCGGGGCAGAGGATAATGGGGACAGTTCACACTGCAGCAATGCATCAGTGCACAGTAACCAAGAGGCCGGGCCCAGCATCAAACGAACCAAAACTTCTGACGACTCGGGACTGGACATGGACAATGCCACAGAGAACGGAGGAGGAGACCTGGCTCTGGACGGGGCCAGCGAGATTGAGCTGGTGTTCCGCCCTCATCCGACACTGATGGAGAAAGAAGACGCTGCGCAGACAAGGTGGGCCATCTCTGTTAATCTGTTCACTAACATATATGCAGTTCTAACCAAATTTAGTGTTTTAAGCAAGTTTCTGTTGTTAATTTTATTTAGTCTGACTTTGAATGTGTGAATTTGTTACAAGGTATATTAAGACTTCGGGGAATGCCACAGTGGACCACCTCTCAAAATACTTAGCTGTCAGATTGGCTCTGGAGGAAATGCGCAAGAACCAAGAAGGAAGCCCCATCAACGTAGAGGCAGCCAGCGAAAAACAGTACACCATCTACATCCCTACAGCAAACAACCAGTTCACAGTGAGTTTGATGCTGCTTCTAATGCTAAAGACATCTAGGACTGCACAATATGGTCAAGCAATCAAAGTATGATTATTTCGACAAATATTATGATAGGATAAATGTTTAACATCTGATACTGCTGCTTGGATGTTATCCCAATTACAATTTTAATGCAGTTAATTAATAGTTTTCAGGCACGTTTAGGGCAAATCCATAGAACTAGCACAGCTCTGTCAGTTTTCCATCTGTTTGAAGCTGTGAATATTTAGATCCCCTCTCAAAAACATTGTTTTGGGGGGCACTTATGATCCAACACACTATTTCAATCACTAAAAACAGCGGAACATTCTAAAACCCTCAAAAACAAGAGGGAACAATGCTTAATGTATTTAGACACTGTTGTTAAAAGATCAAATTCAGTATACCTTATTGAATGGTGCACTCTAAATACAGGCAAGCAGATGAGCCCGAATATGACCACAATGCACGAAATTGCATAAGCTTTGTCTTTATAATGGTTTTCTAAGGGAAAATGCTTAACATGACCACATCTTTAATGCGTTAAGCCACAAAATGCAATTTAGTGTTCCGTTCATATTCTTGGCACATCTGCTTGTCTATGTAGTTTGGTCATTCTTATATGAGTGTGACATCACATGGAAACTATGAATGCCATTGGATTTTTATAAACGTGTGTCATACGTACATTTCATCAGCATGACAGTGTGTCTCTTTTCCCCTCACAGGTCCTGAACGGCTCCTTCTCCTTGGAGCTGGTGAGCGAGAAGTACTGGAAAGTCAACAAGCCCATGGAGTTGTACTTCGCCCCAACAAAGGAGCACAAATGAATCCTGTGAGACACGAGGGTCCAAGCTGACCCGGGACAGACTGATGGTTCACCCTCTCTTCTCTCTCCCTGTTTCTTTCTTTGTTCCTCCTCATCTGGAGTAAAATAGTCTCTGGAGCCCTGGCTCCTCAATAACTGTGGCTGCTTTAATTTGTTTTTTATTGTCTTTTTGTATGAGAACGAGACCAGGGTCGATCATTGGGAATGGGTGGGAGGGTTATGGAAGTCAAACCAGTGTGGATTTGTTTGTTTTTTCTCACCCTTTCAGTTGACACGACCATTTCATTGTTTCATGTTGAGTCCTTTTTGAGTCAAGCGGACTCAGACGTTGCCTTCAACACGCCAAAATTTTAGTCAAAATGGATATTGCAACGGTAACACCATGAGGAAATCATACTGTTGGAAGGTGGCTTTCATAGCCAATGGCGCTGTTCTTTACGTTCAAGAGAACATGTAAGAGATTTTAAGTGCATTTTCTGACACACCACTCCTGTAGCAGCAACATTTATTCACTAACATGACTGCATCTTGCCACTGTGTACCAGTACAATGGCTTAGTTCACATGACGCGTCATGTCACTAGTCTGTACTATTGTGTTGGTCGTCAGATGTTTCGGGGATTGTACATACGACATCACTTTATAGAATAACTACCTGGAAAATGTATATTGACACCATTGTTTCAACTAGTACCATTTCATAAAAACAAAAGTTCAGTTGTAAATTTGGACCCAGTTTTTGATAGTTGCATTTCATATAGACACTTCGTCCAAGACATGGAAAAACTTTTTAGAGCATGAAATACTTTTAGTTTGACATCCTTGGCATACATTTGAGTTAATGTTGTTATTTGGGGAAAAAATGTAAACAGCGTTTTTGTTTGGAAAATAAATAAAAAAAAATGTATGCAAATCCTGGTTTCACTTTTTTTTTTTTAAGAGGTTCTCCGGGATACTGGAGTAGCAACAACAAACCCCCAGTAGGTGGCGCTAGTGCTCAGGTCATTTAAGGCTATGACCATTGATATAATAGAAAAGTCAAGAAACTGTCATGGTGTAAAAACATCACAAAACAAAGTATTAGCTTAAAAGCAGAACATGTTTACAAATGTTTTTTTACAGCAAGGTAATATGTCCCACCCAGCTATTTTATCAATTAAGGATGAACCAATAAAAATGGCTAATATGATAAAACAATTATTTTTATGTTCTTATGCATATTGTGAAACATCTGATTTACAAGTATCTGTCTTACCTTCTCAGTTCCTGCACCCTGAAGCTTAAGAGACCGTGATATATTCCCTTGTGGCTTACTCCTACCCACCAGTCATTAAGTGTCAAGAACAGAGATTGAGGTAGGCCATGTGGTTCATGTACAGTCAGTTCCTGTCTGTGTCAGTTCTGCAAAGGTTGATATGGAATTGTTATAGCCTCACAGTGAGGAGGCCGCTGACCCTCACTTGTCAGGCTCAGAAATGTGTTTTTGCTAGCGCTCTCAGGGCGGTCTTGAACTTAATGCGGTCGGGGTCATGGTAGGGGCCGCTTACACCCCGGTGCCTTGAAAGGGCTGAGAGCTGCAGCCTCCCACATCAAAAGATGGCCAATGCATTTATAAAAGCCCCTGACAGTATGCCCATATAACCTTAAGAACTCTGGCATTTTCACAGATCAAAAATGATCTCTGTGGGGTGGACCATTCGGTGTCGACGTTTGACAGATACTGAAAGAGCCTGTTTGACTCTTGGTCAACAGAAGTATATAAGCACGAATGTCCGTAACTTTAGATTAGTTGGCATCTGCTCATGTGTTTGCTTGTTGTTAGTTCATCTGATGCTCACGGCTATCATAAACAGATGTATAAGCATGAGATTAGAAAACATATATGCTGATGATGTTCATTTTTAAGCTGGTCAATAATCGTTTGTCAGGCGGCATCAAACTACAAGTCTTGATGATGTAATTTCACTCAGCGGTTTGCAGATAGCAACATTATTTCCTGGCAATCAAAACAGTTGATGTTATTTCAAGTTTTCTTTAAGTGTAAGTGTGTGTTTCACGAGTTCACATTCACGTATAATTTTGAGGGAGTAAGATTTAATGCGTATTTGGCGTGCTGTCCGGTGGGAGGGCTCCGAGCTCGGAATTCAGCCCGAACCCAGAGTACTCCCCCTGTATGTAAGTGATTTTTAGAACTAGGAATGTGGAGAAGGGGTGGAGGGGGTATGCTGCAAACTGTCAATGGATTGAGGTAAGACTGCTGAGTCTACTCTCTTATCATTGATTGCTGATTGCTGTCCACTCTTGTTAATTATCTGAACGTGCTCCTCCCGAACTTAATAAAACTTCATTTGGAGAGATGAGGGCTGGTTGAGTTGAGAACATTCTTGGGCTGGTTCCTCATGCACTGTTCTGAACAATCAGATATTGCTTTGACTCAGTGAGGAACAGGAACTGCATCCCCTGTCTGTGATTAAAGCCTCCATTCACTGATTTTTTTATTTTTTTTGTATTATTTTGTTGTCAGAATTTCTGTGCAATGTTTCAGCATCCAGTGGGAAACATTTAGCAGAGTAGTAGTGATTCTTTTGGAAAAAAGTAGCAAATATTTTTGTGAAAAAGTAGTGATTCTTTTTGGAAGAAGTAGCGATTCTTTTTGAAACAAATTTTGGAAGAAGTAGCGATTCTTTTTGGAAGAAGTAGCGATTCTTTTTGAATCAAATTTTGGAAGAAGTAGCGATTCTTTTTGGAAGAAGTAGCGATTCTTTTTGAATCAAATTTTGGAAGAAGTAGCGATTCTTTTTGAATCAAATTTTGGAAGAAGTAGCGATTCTTTTTGGAAGAAGTAGCGATTCTTTTTGAATCAAATTTTGGAAGAAGTAGCGATTCTTTTTGGAAGAAGTAGCGATTCTTTTTGAATCAAATTTTGGAAGAAGTAGCGATTCTTTTTGGAAGAAGTAGCGATTCTTTTTGAATCAAATTTTGGAAGAAGTAGCGATTCTTTTTGGAAGAAGTAGCGATTCTTTTTGAATCAAATTTTGGTAGAAGTAGCGATTCTTTTTGGAAGAAGTAGCGATTCTTTTTGGAAGAAGTAGTGTTGAGATGTTGTTCATTGAGTGAAGGCCTAGAGTCTCTAATCTCTAAAAATCTCCAAATGCTCCCCGTGAAACTGCGGTCCGACCTAGTTTTACTATCGTGTCAATTGAGGAAGAGAGTCCAGACATTTTAGAAATTCCGACCTGCTGATGTATTACAGCCATGTCCGGAATAAAGAGTAGACCTGTGTATGGTAAACCTACATAGCTACATACAGTTAGGGTGATATTAAAGGACATAAACCATGATATAAGATTTTGGCCATATTGCCCATCTCTGAGTCATTTATTCCCTGTGTAACCTCAACCTGTACAGACACGTCCACAAACCTCTTGCATATTGTTTGGTCACACCACAAATGTGTCACTGTTGCCTCAAATCTTCAGCACTAGTGCCACTCTGAACTCGCTTGCTATGTCTGAGGTAAAACACGCCACCCCCTCATTACCATAAAAATCTTCTAGACTTTTATCATGTTCCTGAACTAACTGTTAAGTTTATCATGTGCAAATGTTGTTGGTAGCACATGTTCTTCACGTTCAAGCCAAAAAACCCTTTTGTTGTTCTTCAATAAACTTTCACTCTGCTCTGAATCAAGCCTGCTTGGCCAATTAGATAACAGTACAAAATGTGCTGTGTTGTGATTGGTGCTCTGTATGTGAATGCTTCCAACACTTTCTTCCTTTGTTTAGACGGTGATAGAAACGCTTGGGCCAAATCCCTTGGGCACCATGCCACCATTTGGGACAATTGTTGGTGTGCTGTTGCTACAAGGTGTTTTTTTAACTTCCTGAATCAGAGAAACTTCATGAGGAATGATCACGTGACAGCCTGAAGCCAGATCATGCACCACACGTAGCCTATTGAGAATGAGGAGTTGACGTCATTTTACAGTGCCCCTCCCCTTTCCGCCATGTTGGTAGGATTCCCACGGCAAAACAGTTTTGATTACGAGAGTTTTTAGCTCGGTAGTAGAGGAGTTTCTCGCAATACTGCACTGTTTTACCATGCCTGGAAGTAACTGCTGCGTTAAAAACTCCTCCAGTAACTCACACGATACATATGGAAAACATAGGAACAATGGAATTAAGTTTTTGGGGTTACCGAAATTGACACAGCAGGGAGAGTCTGATCTAACGAGGAGACGCCGGATTGCTAGGTTTGCTGATGTGTTTAGTATACGATTTTCACTGTTTGCTGTGCCTTAACGAACATATGCAAAAGTGTTGTTTTTCCTCGTATTCTTAGATCCGTCTCTGTCCTGCCAAAATAATAAATGAGCGAAAATTTAAGAGCTCTGGAATGTTTAGTTGCGTCTATGGGTTCTAAAAGCGTTGCCCCTGTCAGTGGTGGAACGTAACGAAGTACAACTTTGTTACTTTACTTAAGTACATTTTGCACGTATCTTTACTTTACTCAAGTAGAATAAATAGCGCATACTTTTTACTTTTACTTCGTTACATTTTGCAGCAATTATTATACTTTCTACTCCACTACATTTCTACAACTTCTGTTACATTTTCATTACATTTTCTGATCAGTTTTTCCCCTGCCAAAACGTAATCTGACCGTCCGTCCGTTGCACGTTTGTCTCACCAGTGACGTGTGGTTGCCATAGAGCCTCCATTTTTGCACTCGGGTCTAAGTCCCATGGCCCTCTATCAGAATCCAGAGTTTCAAGAAGATTGGAGAAACTTATTTTTTCGCACAAAAAAAAAAACGACAGGGGTAACACTGTCGTTTTTTTGGGGGGGTCGAAATTTTGAGTTTCTATTATCTTCTTGAAACTCTGGATTCTGATAGAGGGGCATGGGCCTTAGACTGCAGTGCAAAAATGGAGGCTCTAGACCCTTCCAGAGCTGAGATATTGAGATACCAAGTAGCATTTATGCCAAATAAATATCTCAATATCTCAGCTCTGGAAGGGTCTAGAGCCTCCATTTTTGCACTCAGGTCTAAGGCCCATGGCCCTCTATCAGAATCCAGAGTTTCAAGAAGATTGGAGAAATTTATTTTTTCGCAGGGGTAACACTGTCGGTTTTTTTTGGGTCGAAATTTTGAGTTTCTCTGATCTTCTTGAAACTCTGGATTCTGATAGAGGGCCATGGGACTTAGACTTGAGTGCAAAAATGGAGGCTCTAGATACATCAACCCGGTCACACTAAATGCGTCTCGCACGCAGTGCGTTTATAGTGCAATTTATGCGCGAAAATTAGTTTTTATATGCATAGGAAACGCACCGTGTGTAATATACGTTTGGTTAGGATTATGGCAAGCCAAGAGGTTCAGAATTACACCATAAATTAATCACGTTTACTGCCATAATTAACATATAGGAAGGATAAGCATGATGTGTATATTGCCTAAGCTTGCAAGCTTGTTTCAGAAATGGTGACATTTTTTTTTCCATCATTATTGAACATCATTATAGGAGTATTAGGTTGAATGAGTTAGAATCAGTGTTGTGCAAGTTACTTCCAAACTGTAATAGATTAGATATTACTTGTTACTGTTATTTAAAAGTAATTCATTACCTTACAATATTACTGTCCCAGAATTGTAATGCGTTACATTACTCATGTATTACTTTTGAGTTACTTTCACCAAAATAAGAAAGTAGAACTTAACTTTTAGGCTGTAACGATATGCAATATGAAACCGAAATCGCGATTCGCCACATCCACGAACCTACAGAATCGCGACACACCTCTTCCAACTCCATACCATACCACACCTCGTCCATATCCAATGCTGCCTTATCTTTAAATTAGGCTATTAGTATTATTTGAAGTTAACATTATAAAATACGTAGACCTACACCACAAAACTAGTTGAGGATAAATTATTTAAAATTGGGGAAGTCCAGCATTGTGGACATGACATTTGCAGTCAAAACTTGAAATAAAAATTCTCAGAAAATACATGTATTGAAATGTATATAGGCTACTTCCTTAAAGGACTCCAGACATTAGACAAATATCAGTCTGTTTTATTTTTAATATTAGGGAAAAGACACACGCATTCATGCGTGACAAAAAAATAGGAGGCAAAATATATTTTTTGTAATTCTGTTAATTACACTGCGCAAATCGGATAAGGAAGGGTTGGCTCTCCAGCCTCCATAGAACTTAAAATATTCATTTTATTTTAGTTTTCGTGTTCGCATTTATGAGGAAAAAACAATTGTTACAGACGCGACCGCTCTGAACTGGCACTAAAAGACTGCTTTAAAACTTTCACATAGTCTGTTGCCTTTAAGAAGTAAAAGCAGACAATACACAGTAATACAACTGTAATACAAGCCTCACTGAACATGTAACGAGTAAAATATTACTGAAAATTGATTAGTAATGCCTTACACTACTGCGTTACAGCAAAAAGTAATATGTTACTGTAATGTATTACTTTTGTAATGCATTACTCCCAACACTGGTTAGAATTAAATGTTTTATTAATCATTAGAAAATAGACATTAAGAAAATAAATTATGCAAGTACTTTTACTTTTAATACTTAAAGTACATTTAAAATCAGGTACTTTTTACTTTAGTAAAAGTAGAAGTAACACAGTGACAACCATACTTAATATTTATCTGGTTATTTGTATTTTTAATTAAGTACTGAGATTCAGTACTTCCTCCACCACTGGCCCCTGGTAACCGATAGCGTCTCCTACCATCATGGCTGACCGGCTCAGACCCCCCCCAAATAGGCACGTGACTCCTCATTCTCAATAACGTTACATAGCTTATCTCTTTAGATGTGATTTATGACGTTCAGCAGACAGAAATATTTTCTAGCATAGAAAGCATGTGGAATTGTGTCCTAATGTGACGCAATACATTCTTTTCTTTTAACATGTTACTTTCACTTTCAATAATTATTTCTAATTTTAGGAAAATGTATTTTAACATTTTAGTTATCATTATGTTCTATTTAGTTAAATATACTAAACATTGCAAGTCATTAAACAAAGAATATATTTCCTGATTCCAGTGTAAACCATTTGTTATACATTAACTTGAATGGACACTCTTTAGAATATTTATATATCTACTACTGCGTGTACATGAAGGAAGCGTTCTTAGTAATAATCATGTCACTTCTTAATTTTGATGTAGACATCCATTGACAAATGTTCTTCATCTCTATTCTCTGGACAGTATGGCTGCAAAGTTAGTAATGAGTCCCAGAATGACTTTTTTCACCCATGGGATGTGGATGCTTAACAGCTTGAGCAAGGGGGATTTATCTGAAACTAAAACCAGACGCTGCATAATAAAAGTTGCCTTCTGGGACTGAACCATACTTAACCAACTGAATTGAAATCACACAAGAGTTTCTGACCATATATACATATACATATTATATCTTTCTGAAAGTGATTCCAACGATACTGTTCCTCTGTGTTAGTGCATAGGCACCTATTGAAAATCGTTGGCGTAACACTGCCTGTGTGAATGCGATAGATTAGACCACCAGCAATACAAATCCAAGCAAATTATTATCCAGCAACCATAGAACGTTCTAAGGATGTTCTTTTTTAATTTTATTACCATAAAATAACATCCCCTGAATGTTCTGGGAACCAAAAATTATTAACGGGGTAGGTACTGATAGTACTTTCTGAAAGCACTTAATAGAAGACAGTGTTATCTAAGGAAAGATAAAGTGTGATTTAGACTGGAGGAACAAATGAACTCCGATAGCTGAGGAAAGCCCCCAAAGGCTGTTAAAGAGAGAAAGTTATTATTTTGTGGGCTCTAACCTTGTCATTTCCTGTTTATCACACACCTGTTTTTGGGTCGAACATCAGCACATACATGCTGGAAATAGTGAGTGAAAGAACAATGTATACTAATAAAAGTCTGTAAATAGCAGTGTCAGTAAGAGCTGGCATTTGATGTTATGCGTTAAGGTCTTTGAATGCTGTTCGCGCAGGCACTGCATGTCTTATGTAAGAAACCACAACTATGAAAAAACGACACAGCTCTTACATAATCCCTCAGACAAAACAGCCCTGAAAGGTTTTAGTGCTGTTGATTTGCTAGATACTTTTTATATATAAATAACTTCAAAATGTACTTGTATCATTAAAAGTATCAAGGTAGTTGTTTCAAGACCCCCAATGGAGAGACATGTTAGGAAACAGACTTGTCTTCTAAGTTGAAAAGGTTTATTAATTTTTGCACCTTTTTTGTACTGAAAGTTAAACAAAAAAAATCATTTACAACATTTTCAATGAATAAGATGAGACATTAGGTGTTAAGTGACATTATCATCATTGGCTTCTTTAACATGAAGCAGACATAGATAAGAATTTAATTAAAAACAAGCCTGTGGCACAGATTCATCCATAACTGAATGCATGCTTTTCAATATTATGTATTAGACACTTAGATCAGTTGTGTAAAAATGCTATAAAAAGGCAAAAGATACAATTCCACTGAAGCATTGTGGCCCCAGTCAAGATGAGCTTTAGCCAAGTATCCTGTGGTCTAAGACTTTACAACTATACTTATCGTATCTTCAATAAAAAGCCATGATCAATCATCATAATCATTGTAAAGTCAATCATAAGCACTGCATCTGACTGCAGCGGGTCATGAACCTTTGCCACAGATCATATTATAACACTAATAAACCTGTTCTTATGAAATTAACCTTACCATCTCCATATTACTACAGTTACTGGCTTTGATGGTGAAACAACAAATGCATTAAAAACAAAAAGACAGAAATTTATTTACATCATAATTATGCAATATGCAAAGGTTTTATGTTGCTTTGGGCAACCCTATATGAGCATCTATCAGAGTCATTTCCTCAGCACCTAAACAAACAGATGAACATAAGTCAAATACAATCACATCACAATGTGTCCGACTGAGCACGGGATTCTGACACCATTCAATTCTTAGCTAATCCCTCTATAAACGGGCTCCACTCATTCTTCTCTGGGTCATACACCTCCATGGTGTTGAGAAACTCATTGCCATCAAAGCCCCCGACAGCACAGAGCACACCGTTCAACACAGCCAGCCCTGCATTGCTTCGTGCTGACATCATGCTGCCTAACATTCTCCACTCGTTGTGGGCTGGATCATAGACCTCCACACAGCGCAGAGCGTGAGTGCCGTCAAATCCTCCAACCACAAAAACCTTCCCTGGAAGCAGATGGAAATAACTCGATTGAGAAAATGAAGAAAAGTCCTGAATTTAACAAGCTTACATCATTTTCCTACCAGTGAGACTTTATAACCATCCTGGACTAGATGGAAATCTATACACCTCCTATTTTGTCTCCATTTACCTTCATACACAGCCACACCAGCTCCACGACGGGCCACGTTCATGGGGGCCACCAGGGTCCACGTGTTGTTGTCTGGGTTGTAGCGCTCTACTGAGTTTAAGCAGTTCCAGGACTCAGCGCCACCAATCACATACACAAATCCATTTACCTCGCACACTGCCGCCTGGTGCCTCCCTAAACACAGAAGAGAGACGATGCAGTGAGTGAACCACAGGTTTGTACAATACAAATCAGTCATTTCCAGTGGTGGAGGAAGTACTGAATCTCAGTACTTAAGTAAAAATACAAATAACCAGATAAATATTTACTTTAGTAAAAGTAGAAGTAACACAATGACAACCATACTTAAGTAAAAAGTACCTGATATTAGTGTGACCGGGTTGATAGACCTGAGCGCAAAAATGGACGCTCTAGATATAAGTCCCATGGCCCTCTATCAGAAATCCAGAGTTTCAAGAAGATTGGAGAAACTTATTTTTGCACACAAAAAAAACAAAACAAAAAAACGACAGGGTCAGTTTTTTTTTTTGGGTCGAAATTTTGAGTTTCTCTGATCTTCTTGAAACTCTGGATTCTGATAGAAGACCATGGGACTTAGACCTGAGTGCAAAAATTGAGGCTCTAGACCCTTCCAGAGCTGAGATATTGAGATATTTATAATGGCATAAATGCTACGCGGTATCTCAATATCTCAGCCCTGGAAGGGTCTACAGCCTCCATTTTTGCACTCAGGTCTAAGTCTTATGGCCCTCTATCAGAATCCAGAGTTTTGAGAAGATTGGGGATACTTCATTTTTCACCCCCCCCCCCAAAAAAAACGTAAGGGGTAACACTGTCGTTTTTTTTTCGGGTCGAAATTTTGAGTTTCGATATCTCAGCTCTGGAAGGGTCTACAGCCTCCATTTTTGCACTCAGGTCTAAGTCTCATGGCCCTCTATCATAATCCAGAGTTTTGAGTAGATTGGAGAAACTTAATTTTTCGCCCGAAAATGAAAAAAAACTAAAGGGGTAACACTGTCGTTTTTTTTTCGGGTCGAAATTGAGTTTCGATATCTCAGCTCTGGAAGGGTCTAGAGCCTCCATTTTTGCACTCAGGTCAAAGTCTCGTGGCCCTCTATCATAATTCAGAGTTTTGAGAAGATTGGAGAAACTTAAAATTTCGACCCGAAAAAAAAAACGACAGTGTTACCCCTTACGTTTTTTTTTTTTGTGGCGAAAAATTGAGTTTCGATATCTCAGCTCTGGAAGGGTCTAGAGCCTCCATTTTTGCACTCAGGTCAAAGTCTCGTGGCCCTCTATCATAATTCAGAGTTTTGAGAAGATTGGAGAAACTTAATTTTTCGCCACAAAAAAAAAAAACGTAAGGGGTAACACTGTCGGTTTTTTTTTCGGGTCGAAATTTTGAGTTTCGATATCTCAGCTCTGGAAGGGTCTACAGCCTCCATTTTTGCACTCAGGTCTAAGTCTCATGGCCCTCTATCAGAATCCAGAGTTTTGAGAAGATTGGGGATACTTAATTTTTTGACCCCCCAAAAAAAACAAGGGGTAACACTGTCGTTTTTTTTTTCGGGTCAAAATTTTGAGTTTCGATATCTCAGCTCTGGAAGGGTCTACAGCCTCCATTTTTGCACTCAGGTCTAAGTCTCATGGCCCTCTATCAGAATCCAGAGTTTTGAGAAGATTGGGGATACTTTTTTTTTCGCCCCCCCCAAAAAAAACGTAAGGGGTAACACTGTCGTTTTTTTTGGGGGTCGAAATTTTGAGTTTCGATATCTCAGCTCTGGAAGGGTCTACAGCCTCCATTTTTGCACTCAGGTCTAAGTCTCATGGCCCTCTAACATAATCCAGAGTTTTGAGTAGATTGGAGAAACTTAATTTTTCACCCGAAAATGAAAAAAAACGAAAGGGGTAACACAGTCGTTTTTTTTTCGGGTCGAAATTTTGAGTTTCGATATCTCAGCTCTGGAAGGGTGTAGAGCCTCCATTTTTGCACTCAGGTCAAAGTCTCACAGCCCTCTATCATAATCCAGAGTTTTGAGAAGATTGTAGAAACTTAATTTTTCGCCCGAAAACGAAAAAAAACGAAAGGGGTAACACTGTCGTTTTTTTTTTTCGGGGCGAAATTTTGAATTTCGATATCTCAGCTCTGGAAGGGTGTAGAGCCTCCATTTTTGCACTCAGGTCAAAGTCTCACAGCCCTCTATCATAATCCAGAGTTTTGAGTAGATTAGAGAAACTTAATTTTTCGCCCGAAAATGAAAAAAACGAAAGGGGTAACACAGTCGTTTTTTTTTCGGGTCGAAATTTTGAGTTTCGATATCTCAGCTCTGGAAGGGTCTAGAGCCTCCATTTTTGCACTCAGGTCAAAGTCTCACAGCCCTCTATCATAATCCAGAGTTTTGAGAAGATTGTAGAAACTTAATTTTTTGTCTGAAAATGACAAAAAACAAAAGGGGTAACACTGTCGTTTTTTTTTCGGGGCGAAATTTTGAATTTCGATATCTCAGCTCTGGAAGGGTCTAGAGCCTCCATTTTTGCACTCGGGTCAAAGTCTCGTGGCCCTCTATCATAATCCAGAGTTTTGAGTAGATTGGAGAAACTTAATTTTTCGCCCGAAAATGAAAAAAAACGAAAGGGGTAACACTGTCGTTTTTTTTTCGGGGCGAAATTTTGAATTTCGATATCTCAGCTCTGGAAGGGTCTAGAGCCTCCATTTTTGCACTCGGGTCAAAGTCTCGTGGCCCTCTATCATAATCCAGAGTTTTGAGAAGATTGGAGAAACTTAATTTTTTGCCCGAAAATGAAAAAAAACAAAAGGGGTAACACTGTCGTTTTTTTTTTCGGGTCGAAATTTTGAATTTTGATATCTCAGCTCTGGAAGGGTGTAGAGCCTCCATTTTTGCACTCAGGTCAAAGTCTCACAGCCCTCTATCATAATCCAGAGTTTTGAGAAGATTGGAGAAACTTAATTTTTCGCCCGAAAACGAAAAAAAAACGAAAGGGGTAACACTGTCGTTTTTTTTTCGGGTCGAAATTTTGAATTTCGATATCTCAGCTCTGGAAGGGTCTAGAGCCTCCATTTTTGCACTCAGGTCAAAGTCTCACAGCCCTCTATCATAATCCAGAGTTTTGAGAAGATTGGAGAAACTTAATTTTTCGCCCGAAAATGAAAAAAAACGAAAGGGGTAACACTGTCGTTTTTTTTTTCGGGTCGAAATTTTGAGTTTCGATATCTCAGCTCTGGAAGGGTCTAGAGCCTCCATTTTTGCACTCAGGTCAAAGTCTCACAGCCCTCTATCATAATCCAGAGTTTTGAGAAGATTGGAGAAACTTAATTTTTCGCCCGAAAATGAAAAAAACAAAAGGGGTAACACTGTCGTTTTTTTTTCGGGTCGAAATTTTGAATTTCGATATCTCAGCTCTGGAAGGGTCTAGAGCCTCCATTTTTGCACTCAGGTCAAAGTCTCGTGGCCCTCTATCATAATCCAGAGTTTTGAGAAGATTGGAGAAACTTAATTTTTCGCCCGAAAATGAAAAAAAACGAAAGGGGTAACACTGTCGTTTTTTTTTCGGGTCGAAATTTTGAATTTCGATATCTCAGCTCTGGAAGGGTCTAGAGCCTCCATTTTTGCACTCAGGTCAAAGTCTCGTGGCCCTCTATCATAATCCAGAGTTTTGAGAAGATTGGAGAAACTTAATTTTTCGCCCGAAAATGAAAAAAAACGAAAGGGGTAACACTGTCGTTTTTTTTTTCGGGTCGAAATTTTGAATTTTGATATCTCAGCTCTGGAAGGGTCTAGAGCCTCCATTTTTGCACTCAGGTCAAAGTCTCACAGCCCTCTATCATAATCCAGAGTTTTGAGAAGATTGGAGAAACTTAATTTTTCGCCCGAAAATGAAAAAAAACGAAAGGGGTAACACTGTCGTTTTTTTTTTCGGGTCGAAATTTTGAGTTTCGATATCTCAGCTCTGGAAGGGTCTAGAGCCTCCATTTTTGCACTCAGGTCAAAGTCTCACAGCCCTCTATCATAATCCAGAGTCGATATCTCAGCTCTGGAAGGGTCTAGAGCCTCCATTTTTGCACTCAGGTCAAAGTCTCGCGGCCCTCTATCATAATCCAGAGTTTTGAGAAGATTGGAGAAACTTAATTTTTCGCCCAAAAACGAAAAAAAACGAAAGGGGTAACACTGTCGTTTTTTTTTCGGGTCGAAATTTTGAGTTTCGATATCTCAGCTCTGGAAGGGTCTAGAGCCTCCATTTTTGCACTCAGGTCAAAGTCTCACAGCCCTCTATCATAATCCAGAGTTTTGAGAAGATTGGAGAAACTTAATTTTTCGCCCGAAAATGAAAAAAAACGAAAGGGGTAACACTGTCGTTTTTTTTTCGGGTCGAAATTTTGAATTTCGATATCTCAGCTCTGGAAGGGTCTAGAGCCTCCATTTTTGCACTCAGGTCAAAGTCTCACAGCCCTCTATCATAATCCAGAGTTTTGAGAAGATTGGAGAAACTTAATTTTTCGCCCGAAAATGAAAAAAAACGAAAGGGGTAACACTGTCGTTTTTTTTTTCGGGTCGAAATTTTGAATTTCGATATCTCAGCTCTGGAAGGGTCTAGAGCCTCCATTTTTGCACTCAGGTCAAAGTCTCACAGCCCTCTATCATAATCCAGAGTTTTGAGAAGATTGGAGAAACTTAATTTTTCGCCCGAAAATGAAAAAAAACGAAAGGGGTAACACTGTCGTTTTTTTTTCGGGTCGAAATTTTGAATTTCGATATCTCAGCTCTGGAAGGGTCTAGAGCCTCCATTTTTGCACTCAGGTCAAAGTCTCACAGCCCTCTATCATAATCCAGAGTTTTGAGAAGATTGGAGAAACTTAATTTTTCGCCCAAAAATGAAAAAAAACAAAGGGGTAACACTGTCGTTTTTTTTTCGGGTCGAAATTTTGAATTTCGATATCTCAGCTCTGGAAGGGTCTAGAGCCTCCATTTTTGCACTCAGGTCAAAGTCTCACAGCCCTCTATCATAATCCAGAGTTTTGAGAAGATTGGAGAAACTTAATTTTTCGCCCGAAAATGAAAAAAAACGAAAGGGGTAACACTGTCGTTTTTTTTTCGGGTCGAAATTTTGAATTTCGATATCTCAGCTCTGGAAGGGTCTAGAGCCTCCATTTTTGC